TAATAAACCACACTGGTATAATAAAACACACTAGCATAATAAACCATCCTAGTATAATAAACCACACTAGTATAATAAACCATCCTATTATAATAAACCATACTAGTATAATAAACCACCCTAGTATAATAAACCACCCTAGTATAATAAACCACCCTAGTATAATAAACCACACTGGTATAATAAGCCACCCTAGTATAATAAACCACCCTAGTATAATAAACCACACTAGTATATAATAAACCACACTGGTATAAACCACCTAGTATAATAAACCACACTGGTATAATAACCACCCAGAAATAAACCACACTAGTATAATAAACCACCCTGTATAACAAACCACCATTATAATAAACCACACTGGTATATAAACCACCCTAGTATAATAAACCACCTCTATAAATAAACCACCCTGTATAATAAAGCCACCCTAGAATAATAAACCACCCTAGTATAATAAACCACATAGTATAATAAACCACACTGGTATATAAACCACACTGTATAATAAACCACCACTAGTATAATAAACCACCCTAGTATAATAAACCACCCTAGTAATAAACCACCCTAGTATATAAACCACATGGTATAATAAACCACACTAATATAATAAACCACACTAGTATAATAAACCACCCTAGTATAATAAACCACACTAGTAAATAAACACACGGTAAATAAACAACCTAGTATAATAAACCACAATAGTATAATAAACACACTAGTATAATAAACCACACTGGTATAAATAAACCACAACTAGTATAATAAACCACCACTAGCATAATAATCCACACTAGTATAATAAACCACCTGGTATAATAAAACACACTAGCATAATAAACCACCTAGTATAATAAACCACACTAGTATAATAAACCATCCTGTTAAATGGAACCACACTAGTATAAGTAAACCACACTAGTATAATAAACCACCCTAGTATAATAAACCACACTAGTATACATAAACCACACTAGTATAATAACACCTAGTATAATAAACCACACTAGTATAATAAACCACACTGTATAATAAACCATCCTAGTATAATAAACCACACTAGCTATAATAAACCACACTAGTATAATAAACCACCCAGAAATAACCACACGTATAATAAACCATCCTAGTATAAACCTCTGTATAAAACCACACTAGTATAATAAACCACACTAGTATAATAAACCACCCTAGTATAATAAACCACACTTAGTATAATGAACCACACATAGTATAATAAACCATCCTAGATAATAAACTCACTAGTAAAAAACCACCCTAGTATAATAAACCACACTAGTATAATAAACCATCCTAGTATAATAAACCACACTAGTATAATAAACCACACTAGTATAATAAACCACACTAGTATAATAAACCACACTAGTATAATAAACCACACTAGTATAATAAACCATCCTAGTATAATAAACCATCCTAGTATAATAAACCACACTAGTATAATAAACCACCCAAGTATAATAAACCACACTTGTATAATGAACCACACTAGTATAATAAACCATCCTAGTATAATAAACCTCACTAGTATAATAAACCATCCTACTATAATAAACCACACTAGTATAATAAACCATCCTAGTAAAATAAACCACACTAATTTAATAAACCACACTAGTATAATAAACCACACTAGTATAATAAACCACACTAGTATAATAAACCACACTAGTATAATAAACCACACTAGTATAATAAACCACACTAGTATACTAAACCACACTAGTATAATAAACCACACTAGTATAATAAACCCACCCTAGTAAATAAACCATCCTAGATAAAAAACCACAACTAGTATAATAAACCACATATTTAATAAACCACACTAGTATAATAAACCACACTAGTATAATAAACCACACTAGTATAATAACCACACTATATAACAAACCATCCTTAGTATAATAAACCACACTAGTTTAATTAACCCACCTAGTATAATAAACCACACTAGTATAACAAACCATCCTAGTATAATAAACCACACTAGTTTAATAAACCACACTAGTATAATAAACCACACTAGTATAATAAACCATCCTAGTATAATAAACCACACTAGTATAATAAACCACACTAGTATAATAAACCACACTAGTATAATAAACCACACTAGTATAATAAACCACACTAGTATAATAAACCCACTAGAATAATAAACCACACTAGTATAATAAACCATCCCTAGTATAATACACCATCCTAGTATACTAAACCATCCTAGTATAATACAACCCCCAAACACTAGTATAATAAACCACCACTAGTTAAAATAAACCCACACGAGTCTAGAATAAACCACACAAGTTTTAATAACCCACACTAGTATAATAAACCAACACTAGTATATATAAACCACACTAAGTTATATAAACCATCCTAGTAAATATTAAACCACACAAGTTTAATAAACCGCACTAGTATAATAAACCACACTAGTATAATAAACCACAACTAGTAAAATAAACCACAACTAGTAACTAACCACACTAGTATACTCAACCACCCTAGTAATAATAAACAACCTAGTATAATAAACCATCCTATTAAAATAAACCATCCCTAGTATAATAAACCACAAACTAGTAATATACACCACACTAGTATTATAAACACACTAGTAATAATAAACCACACTAGTTTAAATAAACCACACTAGTATAATAAACCACACTAGTGATAATAAACCACACTATAAAATAAACCATCCTAGTATATAAACCACCTAGTTTAAAAAACCGCACTATATAATAAACCACATCGATATAATAAACCACACTAGTATAAAGAAACAAAAAAACCACACTAGTATACTAAACCCACACAAGTAATAATCAACCACACTAGTATAATAACCATCCTAGTAATGAATAAACCACACTAGTATAATCAACTCACACTAATGATATAAACCACACTAGTATAATAAACCAACCTAGTAAATAAACCACACTAGTTTAATAAACCGCACTATTATAATAAAACCACACTATTATAATAAAACCACACTATATAATAAACCACACTAGGTATACTAAACCACACTAGTATAAATAAACCACACAATAATAAACCATCTATATAATGAAACCACACTAGTATAATAAACCACACTATTTAATACAACCACACTAGTAATAATAAACCACACCTAGTAATAATAAAAGCCACAACATATAATCAACCCTCCTAGTATAATAGAACCACACAAGTATAATAAACCACACTAGTATAATAAAACCAATCCTAGCAAAATAAACCATACCTAGTATAATAAGCCAAACTAATATAAATCAATGCTGCTATTAATTGGAAACGAATCATAAAAGATTTAAAAAATAAAAATTAAACTTTACATTGGGTAATAAAGTTTTTATTTTTGATAATAATCCGAGCCATTCCCTGTGCGTTCTTTGTATATATATTCATACTTATATAAATACCTAAGTTTAAGTTTTGTCCTATCCGAGTGTAGTAGCGTAAACAGAGTTTGTCCTGGACCATACTAGGATTGTTTCGGTGTCGCCACTTACGGTATAAGAATGTAAACTGTGACCGAGACAAGTAGCCCGAATATTTGTCTTGAAAGGTTCAAAAGTAACCAAGTGAGAAGCTATGATGAGCTTTGTTTTGGTTTGATTGTTTCAGCACTGTATTATATAATTAAAGAATTATTATATATTATAAATTATTATATAATATATATTATAGAAAAATTTCTTTTTTTGACCCCTTGAATTTGTTTACTTGTCATAGTAGAATTTTGTAATTCATCCTGAGAGAGTTAGAGTAATAATTATCAAATCTGAGTGGTACTGGGGACGCCTTACACCGAGTCATCAGCACCGAAAAATCTTTATCCATAATTATTTATGCTCCTGTTTAGGAGAAGGCTGCTTTCGCGTCTAGTGAAGACTGTTTTAGGTTGTAGCTACGGCTGCTAGACCACACCTGTGTAGGCAGATTTAGACTGCAGAAAGACGAGGCAAGTAGTCAGGCCAGGAAATTTTTATCTCACATTTCTGCTAACTTCTCGTATTTGTGACTCACGAAATCGTAATGACACGATTGTAAACAAACCTGGGCATGGGTGGGGATTGAACTCGCGGCAAGTCATAAAATTCCAGACCAGCGCGTAATCTACTGGGCCAGCTGATACATTAAAATTCATCCAACTAGGTATATTGATACACCATAGGGAGGTTAGCGTGGATCTCACTGTGACCAATAATGCAAATTTTTATTTTTCAGTGTTACAACTCGCCGCAAGTTCAATCTGCACCTGTACTTTGTTTTTTTTTCTCGTACTTTTTATTACCTCATAATGTGCAGTTCCTATTTTTTCATATCACTGTAATTTCAGTTTTCTTATTTTTTCATGTTCATCTAATGTCATTTTCTTACGCAGTTATTTTAATGGCTACATCTCATGTATGTCTCCCAGCATACATACGGGGGATTACCAATAGATCCCTGGCTATCTTCACGAGCACCGACAGGCACCTAAGTCCAGTACACTGACCCACCGGGCTGTTGTCCGTACGTTTAGTTGCTGCGGCCACATTAACAGCCTGGTTGATCAGATCCTGATCCACCACGGGTCTTAGAGACCCGGCCTCAAGGGCGTTGACCCCAGGTAATACACCAGTAATTCTATATTTATTTAGGTATTTTTGCCTATTATCACATTTTATTTTTTACTGACTAACCGACCATTGTTCTTTAGTGTCACTCGTTTAAACGTTTCTTCTACTTTATTGTTGCTGCTCTGTATTATCTCTCGTTCTACGTCACATCATTCACCTACTTTGTGTTCATGAATGACGTCATGATAAAGGACCCCTCATTGTCATGTCCAGCACCAGACTAATACAATTGGAAAACACACACACCATGCATGAATACCTTTGGTTAAGGTTTGCCATTTTAGTTAGGGAAGAAGTGTGCCTTATGTGATGTGTGACATTCTGGTCCTTGGAGATGCAGATCCTGCAAGATACGCCAGGTGTTGCCTGGGATTTTAGGATCATCCTCGCTCATGCCAGTGGTGTCAAAATCGGGAGGCAAGAAACAGTCGAACCTGAAAATAATTGTTTGTATGCAAAAAATAGACTATACAAAAGTGAAGAATAAATTTGGCGTCAGTTTCCATTATAAAACGAAAGATCAATGTGTGGCTCACGACACTATCCAACATACCCGATAAATATTCAATTTAATTATGAAATTTTATTCCTAGTGTCCAGGATATTGGAACCCCTCAGTTGGCTTTTCAAACCCGCTGAGACATTGCATTTATTAACAAGTTCAAATATAATCTTAGGGGAGAATTGACAGAGAACACAACGCTACACTTCGACAGTGGCAAATTAAAATAGCCCACTATGGTTGTCACCTCAAGTGAATGAGCAGGTGGTCTTATAAATTATCTTGAAATATATTTATTATACACACTTTCGTAGATATCAATCAAGAGGGATTAATTTTTTATGTAAGTATATAAAGTTAAGTTTATGTGAAGATGACTTCACATGAGCTAGAAAGTTAACTGCTAAGTATCAATCCCACAGCTCTACACCTGGAACCCATGGTCTAACACTACACCACACTACACCTGGAACACCATGGTCTAACACTACACCTGGAAACCATGACTAACACTACACCTGGAACACCATGTTCCTAAAACACAACACCGTGGAAACCTGGAACACCAATGTCTAACACTACACCTTGAACACCATGGTCTAACACTACACCTGAACAACTCTCAATGTCAAACACTACACCTGGAACACCATCGTCTAACACTACACCTGGAACAAACCATCGTCTAACACTACACCTGGAACACCATGGTCTAACACTACACCTGGAACACCATGGTCTAACACTACACCTGGAACACCATGGTCTAACACTACACCTGGAACACCATGGTCTAACACTACACCTGGAACACCATGGTCTAACACTACACCTGGAACACCATGGTCTAACACTACACCTGGAACACCATGGTGTAACACTACACCTAACCTGGAACACCATGTCTAACACTACACTGAACAACCATCGTCTAACACTACACCTGTAACATCCATCGCTAACACTATAACACCCGGAACACCTGGTCTAAACACTACACCTGGAACACCATGTCCTAACACTACACCTGGAACACCACGGTCCTAACACTACACGTGGAACACCATGGTTCAAACACTACAACCTGGAAACACCATGGTCAAACACTACACCTGAACACCATGGACTAACACTACACGTGGGAAACCACCAATGTCCTAAAACACTACACCTGGAACAACCATGTCTAACACTACACCTAAACACTATGGTCTAACACTACACCTAGAACACCATGGTCAGCACAACAGAAGGAGGGCACCATGTCCTTAGAACACAACACTTAGAACACCAAAGGTCTAACACTACACTTTAAGAAAAACACCCACCATGGTCAACACTACACTAGAACACCATGTCTAACACTACAACCTAGAACACCATGGTCAAACACTACACATAGAAACACCATGGTCTAACACTACTCTTAGAACGACCTGGTCCTTAACACTACACTTAGAACACCATGGGTCTAGACACTAACACTTAGAACACCATGTCTAACACACACTTAGAACACCATGTCTAACACTAACAACTTAGAACACCATGGTCTAACACTACAACCTAAACACCATGGTCTAGTACACTACACTTAGAACACCAATGGATCTAACACTACAACTTAGAACACCATGGTCTAACACTACACCTGAACCACCATTTGTCTACACTACACCTGGAACACCCATGGTCTAACACTACACCTGAACACCAAGGTCTAACACCACAACCCCTTGGAAACAAACCATGTCTAACACTACTCCTTGAACACCAATGTCTAACACTACGACCTGAACACCATGGTCCGAACACGACACGGAACACCATGGTCTAGACACTACACGTGGAACACCATGGCTAAACACTACACCGAAACAAAAAGACTTGGGAGACGATGCACCATCCCCCCAAATGATAAGCAGGGGTGGTCACTAGACGTTTAAGAGACCATACAATAAGTGGCAGGGGCCCGAGACTGTTTTCAACTGCCTCCCAGCAGCACATAAGGGGGATTACCAACAACCCCTGGGCAGTCCAAGCTGGCAACTGGACAAGCACCTGAAAGTCATTTTCCTGATTCAGTCGGCTGTGGCTCGTACGTTGGTTTGCGTGCAGCCAGCAAGCAACAGCCTGGTTGATCAGGCCTCTGATCCCACCATGAGGCCTGGACAAAGACCGGGCCGCGGGGCGATGACCCCCGGAACTCTCTCCAGTAAACTCAGGTAAACACCTGGAACTCCATGGTCCCTAACACTACACCTTGAACACATGGCCTATACACTACACCTGGAACACCATGGTCTAACACTACACCTGGAACACCATGGTCCTAACCTACACCTGAACAACCATGTCTAACACTAAACCTGGAACACCATAGCTTCCTTAATGGACCATTGAGCTGATGCACAACACCTACAGGACCAATAGGAGGATTCCCTGGTGGATAAGACGTGGAAGGATCTCTTGATGCACCTGCTTAACTTAAGACCTGCCCTTACCTGTCCTGCTTTGAACCTACCTCTTGACCTGCACTCTACAGTCTCAATCAAAGTCTACCAGTGCTTTTCCAATTATGTCTACCAGTGATCAGCTGACTAGAAGCAGCCACCGACAGCTAGACTGGTTGGTTGGGGGAGAGCGCACATGTTTTATAAAGGGCCGCCTATACTTGCAGTTGGCAGCCAGCCCAGGATTGTTAACACGTCTTATGAAGTGCTGGAATGTGCAGAAACATCATGATGTCACGTGAAGAGCCTTAAGCGACGGACAAGCTTGTAAGTGTGACCATTTACGTTATCAATTCCATGTCTCATGATGCACCGACTAACCGCCTCTGATCACTGCCCTCCTGTTTCGACAATTTCCCTTTAAACCTGTGACCCTGTGAGTGACCTGCCTGCCCATAAACCTGCAAAGGTGGCCCTAGTTTAGCTTTGTTATCCTACCAGGTTTTTCTGTATAAGGAAGTTAGCCCTGTGAGAAGACTGGTTTGGCGACATATACCCGCTTACCTAGGATCTACCTCAGAGAATCTGGAAAGTAAAAGTCCACAGCCTGCCGTACTTCTTCCACTTCTCGCAACCTCATAGGGAATCAGGCTTAGATTAATGAAGTCACAACCTCATGGGAAATCTGGGCTTAAGTTGGGAGGTACCCAGAGTAGGTTTGTCCTACAGTGCTGGATGAAAAGCGGATGACCTAGTGTGGCCAATGGGAAACTTTGGTATCCTAGCTTTAGCTTCTAAGAGGCTGGGCTGATCCCTGGCTGTCCTTCTGCTGTCAGTGGGGCGCCCAGTGTCGACGTCCAGATGGATCTGAAACCCATGTATCCAGAGAACCCATGGTTCCCAAGAACCCATGGTTCCAGAAACCCATGTTCAAAAACCCATGTATCCAGATCCCCATGGTTTTCTAAGGACACAGTAGTCCAAGAACCCATGGTTCCAGAGAACCCATGTATCCAGAGAACCCATGGTTCCTGGGAACCTATGTATCCAGAGAACCCATGTATCCAGAGAACCCATGGTTCCAGAGAACCGATGAATCCAGAGAACCCATGGTTCCTGAGAACCAATGTATTCAGAGAATCCATGGTTCCAGAGAACCCATCCAGAGAACCCATGTATCCTGAATACCTATGTATAAAGAGAACCCCTGGTTCCAGAGAACCCATGTATACAGAGAACCAATGGTTCCTCAGAACCCATGTTTCTAAAGAACCCATGGTTCCTGAGAACCCATGGTTCCAGACAACCCAAGTATCCAGAGAACCCATGGTTCGTGAGAACCCATGTATCCAGAGAACCCATGGTTCTTGATAGCCCATGTATCCAGAGAAGCCATGTATCCAGAGAACCCATGTATCCAGAGAACCCATGTATCCAGAGAACCCATGGTTCCAGAGAACCCATGTATCCAGAGAACCCATGGTTCCAGAGAACCCATGTATCCAGAGAACCCATGTATCCAGAGAACCCATGTATCCAGAGAACCCATGTATCCAGAGAACCCATGGTTCCAGAGAACCCATGGTTCCCGAAAACCCACAGTTCCTGAGAACCCATGGTTCTTGAGAACCCATGTATCCAGAGAACCCATGGTTCCAGAGAACCCATGGTTCCAAAGAACCCATGTATCCAGAGTACCCATGGTTTCTAAGGATCCATGTATCCAGAGAACCCATGGTTCCAGAGAACTCATGTATCCAGAGAACCCATGGTTCCTGAGAACCTATGTATCCAGAGAACCTATGTATCCAGAGAACCCATGGTTCCAGAGAACCGATGTATCCAGAGAACCCATGGTTCCTGAGAACCCATGTATTCAGAGAATCCATGGTTCCAGAGAACCCATGTATCCTGAATACCCATGTATAAAGAGAACCCCTGGTTCCAGAGAACCCATGTATACAGAGAACCAATGGTTCCTGAGAACACACGGTTCCAGAGAACCCATGTATCCAGAGAACCCATGTATCCAGAGAACCCATGTATCCAGAGAACCCATGGTTCCAGAGAACCCATGGTTCCCGAGAACCCATGGTTCCAGAGAACCCATGTTTCCTGAGAACCCATGGCTCCTGAGAACCCATGGTTCCTGAGAACCCATGTATCCAGAGAACCCATGTATCCAGAGAACCCATGTATCCAGAGAACCCATGGTTGTTGAGAACCCATGTTTCCAGAGAACCCATGTACCTAGAGGACCCATGGTTCCTGAAAACACATGGTTATAGAGAACTCATGGTTCCAGAGAACCCATGGTTCCTGAGAACCCATGACTCCTGAGAACCCATGTTTCCAGAAAACCCAAGTATCCAGAGAACCAATGGTTCGTGAGAACCCATGTATCCAGAGAACCCATGGTTCCACAGAACCCATGGATGCAAAGAACCCATGGTTCCTGAGAACCCATGTATCCAGAGAACCCATGCATCCAGAGAACCCATGTATCCAGAGAACCCATGGTTCCAGAGAACCCATGGTTCCAGAGAACCCATTCTTCCAAAGAACCCATGTATCCATGGAACCCATGTATCCATGGAACCCATGTATCCAGAGAACCCATGTATCCGGAGAACCCCTGTATCCAGAGAACCCCTGTATCCAGAGAACTCATGGTTTCTGAGAACCCATGTATCCAGAGAACTCATGTTTCCAGAAAACCCATTGTTCCTCAGAACCCATGGTTTCTGAGAACCCATGTATCCATGGAACCCATGCATCCATGGAATCCATGTATCCAGAGAACCCATGTATCCAGAGAACCCCTGTATCCAGAGAACCCCTGTATCCAGAGAACCCCTGTATCCAGAGAACTCATGGTTTCTAAGAACCCATGTATCCAGAGAACTCATGTTTCCAGAAAACCCATTGTTCCTGAGAACCCATGGTTTATGAGATCCCATGTATCCAGAGAACCCATAGTTCCAGAGAACCCATGGTTCCAAAAAAACCTTGGTTCCAGAGAACCCATGGTTCCTGAGAACCCATGAACCCATAGAACCCATGGTTCCTGAGAACCCATGGTAACAGAGAACCCATGTATCCAGAAAATCCATGGTTCCAGAGAACCCATGTCTCCAGAAAACATATGGTTCCAGAGAACCCATGTATCAGAGAACCCATGGTTCCAGAGAACCCATGATTCCAGAGAACCCATATATCCAGAAAACCCATGGTTCTTGAGAACCCATGGTTCCAGAGAACCCATAGTTCCAGAGAACCCATGGTTCCAGAGAACCCATGTATCCAGAGAACCCATGTATCAAGAGAACCCATGGTCCCAGAGAACCCATGTATACAGACAACCCATATATACAGAGAACCCATGTATCCAGAGAACCCATGGTCCCAAAGAACCCATGTATCCAGAGAACCCATGTGTCCAGAGAACCCATATATGCAGAGAACCCATGTATCCAGAGAACCCATGTATCCAGAGAAACCCCTGGTTTCAGAGAGCCCATGTATCCAAAGAACACATAGTTCCAGAGAACCCATGTATACAGAGAACCAATGGTTCCTGAGAACACATTCATCCTGAGAACCCACGGTTCCAGAGAACCCATGTATCCAGAGAACCCATGTATCCAGAGAACCCATGTACCAGAGGACACATGTATCCAGAGAACCCGTGTATCCAGAGAACCCATGGTTCCTGAGAACCCATGGTTCCAGAGAACCCATGGTTGTTGAGAACCCATGGTTGTTGAGAACCCATGTTTCCAGAGAACCCATGTACCTGCAGGAGACATGGTTCCTGAAAACCCATGGTTCCAGAGAACCCATGGTTCCAGAGAACCCATGGTTCCTGAGAACCCATGTATCCAGAGAACCCATGGTTCAAGAGAAACCATGTATCCTGAGAACCTATGTATCCAGAGAACTCATGTATCCAGAGAACCCATGGTTCCTGAGAACCCACGGTTGCAGAGATCCCATGTATCCAGAGAACCCATGTATCCAGATAAACTATGGTTCCTGAGAACCCATGGTCCCGGAAAACTCATGGTTCCAGAGAACCCATGCATCCAGAGAACCCCTGTATCCAGAGAACCCCTGTACCCAGAGAAACCATCGTTCCAGAGAACCCATGTATCCAGAGAACTCATCGTTCCAGAGAACCCATGTATCTAGAGAATCTTGGGTTCCTGAGAACCCATGTATCCAGGGAACCCTCGGTTCCTGAGAACCCATGTATCCAGAGAACCCATGGTTCCTGAAAGTCCATGTATCCAGAGAACACATGTATCCAGAGAACCCACGGTTCAAGAGAACACATTTTTCCTGAGAACCCATGTTTCGAGAGAACCCATGTATCCAGAGAACGTATGGTTGTAGAGAACCCATGGTTCCAAGAACCCATGTATCCAGAGAACCCATGTACTCAGGGATCCATGCATTTAGAGAAACCATATATCCTGAGAGCCCATGTATCCTGAGAACCCATGGTTCCAGAGAACCCATAGTTCCTGGGACCCCATGGTTTCTGAGAACCCATGTATCCAGAGAACCAATAATTCCAGAGATCCTATGGTTTCAAACAACCCATGTATCCAGAGACCCAATGATTTCTGAGAACCCATGTATCCAGAGACCCAATGGTTCCTGAGAACCCATGGTTTCAGAGAACCCATGTATCCAGAAAACCCATGGTCCCTGACCCCATGAATCCAGAGAACCCATGGTTCCAGAGAACCCTTGTATCCAAAGAACCCATGATTCCAGAGTACCAATGTATCCATAGAACCTATGGTTCCTTAGAACCTACGTAGCCAGAGAATCAATGGTTCCAGACAACCAATGTATCCCGAGAACATATGTATAAAGAGTACCCATGGTTCCTGAGAACCCATGGTCCAAGAGAACCCATGGTCCCAGAGAACCCACATATAAAGAGAACCCATGGTTCCAAAGAACCCATGTATCTAGAGAACCCATGGTTCCAGAGATCCCCTGTATCCAGAGAACCCATGTATCCATCGAACCCAAGATTCCATAAGACCCATGTATACAGATATCCCATGTGTCCAGAGAACCCATGTATCCAGAGAACCCATGTATCCAGATCCCATGGTTCCAGAGAAACCATGGTTCTTGAGAACCCATGGTTCCTGAGAACCATTGGTTCCTGAGAACCATTGGTTCCAGAGAACAATGGTTCCAGAGAACCCATGGTTCCAGAGAACCCATGGTTCCAGGGAACCCATGGTTCCAGAGAACCCATGGTTCCAGAGAACCCATGGTTCCAGAGAACCCATGGTTTCCTGAGGAACCCCTGATTCCGAGAACCCATGGTTCCGAGAACCCATGGTTATAGAGAGCCCCTGGTTCCTGAGAATGCATGGTTTTCCCGAGAGCCATGGTTCCTGAGAATCCATGGGTTCCAGAGAACCCATGTATTCAAAAGAACCCCTGGTTCCAAAGAACCCATGTATCCAGAGAACCATGTATCCAGTAAAGCCAAGGTTTCTAAGAACCCAGTATCCAGAGAAAACCCCTGGTTCCAAAGAACCCATGTATCCAGAGAACCAAAGTATCCAGAGAACCCATGGTTCCCGAGAACCGATGCATCCAGAGAAACCC